CCCAATGGGTTGAATCCTTGGCAGTGAATGTGTCCTTTACCTCAATGGCTTGAATCCTTGGCAGTGAATGTGCCCTTTACCCCAATGGCTTGAATCATTGGTAGTGATTGTGTCCTTCACCCCAATGGCTTGAATCCTTGGCAGTGAATGTCTGTCACCCTAACGGCTTGAATCCTTGGCAGTGAATGTGTCCTTCACCCCAATGGCTTGAAACCTTGGCAAGGGGCTTTCGTCAATTTCTTTATATTATGACATTTTGCCTTCATTAACCTCTTTTTTTATTTAGGAAGCATGAAAAAGACACTTGAATATCTTCGACGTGACGAGAGGGATGTATTGGATAAATCTGGTCTGAAAATAATTCGGCACAAACCTATCACTGCTTTATTGTCATCTACCAAGTTGGACCCCTACATCCCTTTACATACGGCTTCCGAAGACTTGATCTATACAGGAATTCGAAACTGCTATGAGATTCCCGAGAAAGGGCACTCCAAATCAAGCAGTTCATTCCCTTTGTTAATCCTCTGTCCATTTTCTGAAGACCTTGATTGCTCTGAATTTAACACTCTTCTTAAGAGAATGAAACATGAAAAATTGAAGTGGGATAATTCTTTTAATGTCCGCGGCATTTCTACCCATTTGCAATCCCCTAAATGGATTTTTTTGGTTGAATGACGTTCTTTCCACATTTGCCCCTATTTTGAAGAAGTGTGGGATTTTTGCTGCAATCTATGTATCCCAATTTGCTTATGCTAGGAATGTCTCCCTGCTCAAAGGATTCTTAGAGCGGTGGTCACCCGACACCAACACTTTCTACACCATTTACGGCGAACTTGGGATCTCTTTATGGGACCTTCATCGCATTAGCGGGCTCCCCATCCGTGGCGAGTTTTATGAAGAGTTCAACCCGTCTAATGACATTTTATATTCGTCCCAGACATCCAAGGCGTGCCGTGGGCTTTTCAACATTTATGCCAGCTCTTTTCAATCCAAGAAGTTTAACCACTGGACTTTCAAATTCATTGACGAATCCCCAATTTCGATTAGTGGTTTTTAACAAAAAGATAGAATTCCTGATGATGTGTATCTTTCTGGTTTTTTGGCGAGCTGGCTTAGCGGATTTGTCTTCCCTCACTCTTCTGGGGAAATTCGTCCGACTACGTTTCATGTAGCCACCAAAATGGCCGGTGGAACCTTATTTAGCTTGGCTATCCCTGTCCTTGCGTACCTCTATCATTCTCTTGGTAAAATGGCATCATCACCTTTACCTGGGAAGGAAAATATTCAGGGTCCTTTGCATTACCTTTTTGGATTGATTTCACTATATTTTGTTAAGACTTACTCTCATGGGGATCCTCAGTTGACTTGTCCGATCCCTGATATTCATTTCATGCCATATCTTGGGTTTATTGGAAACCAATCGCCTGCCCAGTTTTTTACTAATAAATTTCCATTTGTGGACTCTCTCCTAACTTATCGTACGGAGTGTCAGTTTAGGGCTCTTACCCATGAATGTGAACCCTCAGGCATTCTGGTCGACTCTAAAAGGATATCACATTTCCACCTTAGCTATCTTATATCTTTAAGGCAAGGGATTTTAACTTTTAAAATGAGATTTAATTTCATTTCTGAACCGTACTCCCCTAACCGATACGGTCGTCAATTGGGTTTGCTCAAGCGTGCCCTACATCGCTTAATGTATCTTGTCGGCAGCCCTCTGAGTGGTCTAAATTTATTACAACTGGCGCCATATGCTATGCTGTGGTACAAAAGTCTCATTGGAGTTACCAAGCTCCCGATCTACTTCTCACGTAACCATGCCTTATACCAGTTGGTGGTTGGGAACTTCTTTTACCGTGCTCCAATATGTTACTCATACCCAGCCGAAATCTTCATGTAAGAGAAAACTGGATATGTCAATTAAAGACCGAAAGACGAAGAATCCTTCTTACTCTAGAGCTAGGTCATCATCTTCACCTATTGCTCTGGAAGCATCATCACCTCAGAGAATGGATAATAGTCGACCACTTATTGCTCCTTCTCGATCTAGTTACTCGGTTTTAGATCTCCTTCATCTTTTCGAGGATATATGTAATTCTCAATTTAAAATGAGATTTAGCTTTGAGCAAGTAGATTCTGGTCCTCAATTTTCTAGTCTCGCAAAGTTTTTTCCAGAGACTATGTTTGTCAGTGATTGTACAGGAACTTCCCAAACCACCGTAGCGACCAAAACCCCAATAGATCAATTTCGCACATACTTGTACTCTTTTCTTGAAGATAAAGATGAGAATATGATTCAAGAACTCTTTGAGGGAGACGGGTATGAATTAACTGCCTTGGGTCGTATTCACATTAAGAGTGTTGAAATTCCTTCTCTTGCCAAATCTTTTGATTGTTCTCTCAATGGAAGTAGCGAGAGTGAAGATGAGTTTTATGACTACACCCCTCTTTTAGATGGCACACCGACTAAGATGAGTAAATTGCCCCTAGCAAATGTAGATTTTTCTTCTCCTTCTTCGAACAAGCCATCCAAGCTATTAGAGAAAGGTATAATTCTTTCTTCTTCTTTTTCTTCCTCTTCTTCTTCTTCTTCTTTTTTTTTTTTTTTTTTTTTTTTTAACACCTCTCATTTTCTTAGGCACTTTCTCTTACTCTATTCTTTATATATATAGCAGTATATATATTTTCCGTTTTCATTTTCATTATTCATGGTATGATTGCATCTAAAATCGTTCATGATATGATGGCATTAGATTTTAATTTATAATGTGCATATCCATCTGCCAAGTCATTTAAGTAAAAAAAAAGATTCCAACATTTTTGTGACTGGTATATTTTGCATTTCTTCATTATGTGTTCACCTGTTTATCTCTCTCTCTCTCTGTCATGTGGGAAATAGCCATCATGTTCAATCTAAAGAGTATGTTATGTATGTGGTCGTGTTTGTAAAGAAAACTACTTTCATATTTCATTTCCATCTATTGAACTGTGCGCCCAAATTCTTGCAGACTTACTTGAAGCAAATGGGGTTAACAAATTATTTGACAAACTTGAAGCACCCTTTGCTCCATCTAACCTTCTTTTGGGAACTTCCTCTAATGAAGCAGCCATCCATATTCAGAAAGGTCTTACTATTTCTCTCCAATCAACGACGGATGTTAATGGCATGATTGTTGTAGCAAACAACGTTTTCATGATTTTGAAGAGTTTGGGTGTAGACTTCATCTCCTTTTACGAGAAGGTGAAGATATTCCTTAGGCGCTTTGCTTTGAAAATCCAACTTGCAGATTCTTCAAACTTGTCTACTGCAGAATTTGAGGCCCAATACTATGAGAAGAAGCTTCATTTCGACAAAGTTTCTAGTGAACATGAACAGTTGTCTACTTCAAGTCAGATGAGCACATTGCGGGTCTTAATCAAAAGATTATTCAAACCAAAGAGTTACTCAAACAACTTGAAGAGGAATTGTCATCCACCTAAGCGGAACATGCATCCTTTATGTGTGGTTTTGCACAAGCTTCCGAGAGCGTTTCTAAATCAGAAGAAGACGTGCAAACTGCTCTGAATGTTTTGAGCCAACACAAGAAGAAGAATGGACAACACAGTGTTATGGAACGTGCTTTTGAAAGGGCCAAGGCTTCTCTTAATGAATGAATGCACTTTTATTTTTTTATTCATCCGAACATAATGTATTTATCTATTTTCGCTCAGTGATAGATTTATTTGTTATATGAAATTTCTCAATACAATACATTGATTTGTCTTATTTTAGCCGTTCACAGTTTATACTCTTGCTGGCCAGGAGTATCCAATGTTTTACCACCTTAGATTTCAGTGGGATATTTTAGCAGTTTAACCACATACAATACCGTTGTTGGGATTCAACTTTTGTTTGGTCGTACACAGTTTATACTCTTGCGGGCCAGGAGTATCCAATGTTTTACCACCTTAGATTTCGGTGGGATATTTTAGCAGTTTAACCACATACAATACCATTGGTAGTTTTTGACTTTTGTTTGGTCGTACATAGTTTATACTCTTGCGGGCCAGGAGTATCCAATGTTTTACCACCTTAGATTTCGGTGGGATATTTTAGCAGTTTAACCACATACAATACCGTTGGTGGGTTTTTTTTTTCTTTTGTTTGGCCGTACACAGTTTATACTCTTGCGGGCCAATAGTATCCAATGTTTTACCACCTTAGATTTCGGTGGGATATTTTAGTAGTTTAACCACATACAATACCGTTGGTGATTTTTTTTTTTCCCTAACTTTTGCCTTGGCCGCCCTTTCGGGTTTTCAACCTATCAGGCTTTCTTAAGGGTAATATCTCTTCAAGAACCTTACATTGGTTGGGGGAATGATTCTGTCACCATCCATCGTTATCAACAAATAGGCCCCATTAGAATAAACCTTTTCATTCACATAAGGTCCTTCCCATTTGGGCTCAAGCTTTCCTTTGGTTCTTCGTGAGACTACTATAGGCGTTCTAACCATTAGTACCAAGTCTCTCTTTTTAAAAGAACGAAGCCTCACTCTTTTATTGAATGCATTGCCATCTTTTGTTGGTAGATTTCCAAGTTCTGTTGAGCATACAACCTTCTTTCATCCAGGGTCTCCAGCTCAGCCAACCTCACTCTTGCACTTTCATCTTCTATTAAGGACTCTTGTATTGCCACTCGCAATGATGGTATTTGAACCTCAAGTGGTAACACTACTTCTCCTCTAAAAACCAATGAATAAGGGGTTGCTTGAGTAGGAGTTCTGTGCGAAGTCCGATAGGCCCACAAAGCTTTTTGTAACTTTTTGTGCCAAGCTTTTTTGTTCTTATCCACCATCTTCTTAAGAATTTTGCACAATGTCTTGTTGAAAGCTTCTGCCAAACCATTGGCAGGTGCATGATATCTTAACGAATGGTTGTTTTTGATTTTGTACTTGGCAAATAACTTATTCAAAGCATCACTCCTGAATGGCTGTCCATTATCCATGATGATACTTTATGGAATCCCGAACCTGTAAATGATATGGGTTTGGATGAACTCAGAGACAACTGTACTTTTTATATCCTTTAAAGCCACAACCTCTACCCATTTTGAGAAATAGTCAGTTGCAGCTAGGATGTATTGATATCCTGCTGAAGATGGAGGTACAAAAGGACCAATAATGTCCATACCCCATGCTGCAAATGGCCAAGAACAAGTTGTTAAATGTAAAGGTTCTGGGGGTTGGTAGAGAAAGTTCCCATGGAATTGGCAGACTTGGCATATTCGAGCATAATCTATGCAATCTGCAATCATAGTCTGCCAATAGTATCCCAACCGTTTTAGCTGCATATGTAATTTAGGACCACTTTGGTGTGTCCCACATACACCTGCATGTATTTCTGCCATTACCTCTTGAATACGCTCCTTGGCTATGCACCGCATGAACATTCCATCCAAAGACCTTTTGTATAACCCATCCTTCCACGAGACGAATTTGGTAGCCCTACGTCTCACCTCAATTCTTTTTACTTTATCTTCAGGCAGCCTACCATGTTGGAGGTAAGCTATGAATGGTTCCCGCCTATCCTTCTCGTTTTCTCCTTTCGTGGTGACGACCAAGATTGGAACAAAGTCAGAAACTTCTTTTAAAGGTTGTAACACCCTTCTTTCACCTACCGTGATAGTAATTGTTTTGCTATCTGGTAGGGTGAGTGATGCAGCCAAACTTGCAAATGAATTAGCTCGAGCATTTGTTCTTCTCTTCACGTGGAAAATATGTGTTTTCCTGAATTGCGATAGCAGTTGATCAGCCCTTTCATGATACAGGATGAGACTTGTTTTTTTAGCAATGTATTCTCCACGGAGTTGCTTTACCACCAGTTTCGAATCTCCATAAATTGAGAGTTCTTCAATAGGAATTTATAATGCCAATTCTAATCTAGCAATTACAGCTTCATATTCTACCTTATTATTAGAGCATCCTTCACTTAAGGCGAAAGAATGGGTAAGCATAGCATTATCTGGAGTCACAAACACAATTCCAATTCCAGCTTTATTGTTTTTAGGATTTTCTTGCTTCTTGCCATCTGGACTCCTTGAAGCTCCATCGAAGTACATCTCCCATCCTTTCTGGATTTCTACTTGTATAACCTCTTCATCTGGTAAATCAGCTACTAGAGGTGAGTCATCAGGTATAGGATGTGCTGCCAAAAAATCTGCTAGAGCTTGCCCCTTTTTAGCTCTTTGGAGAACATATTCAATTGCGAATTGTTGGAGAATTACAGCCCACTTTGCAATTTTCCCTGAAAGTATGGGCCGTGAAAGTATATATTTCAAGGGTCTACTCTTGATATCAACTTGACTTCGTCTTCCAGGACATAGTGCTTTAGTTTTTGCAAGGCGAACACCAAGGCAAGACATGTCTTTTCGATAGGAGAATAACTGACTTCTGCCCCAACCAGAGTACGACTCAAGTAATACAAGGCATTTTCTTTCCCATGCTCATTGTATTGTGCCAACAGTGCCCCTAACGAACCATCCAGGGCTGTTATGTACAACAAGAGTGGTTTCCCTTTTATTGGGCTCATGAGTACTGGAGGCTTCAAAAGATACTCCTTAATACTATTAAAAGCATTTTGGCACTGTTGATCACATTCAAATGGAACACCCTTTTTCATTAATCTTGAGAATGCCAAGCATCGACCAGTCAAGTTCGAAATAAATCTTCTGATATAAGCCAACCTCCCTTGTAGCCCCTTTAATTCCCTTAAATTTCACGAATGAGGCATTTCAGCAATGGCTTTAATCTTAGTAGGGTCAATTTCAATCCCTTTGTTTCGAACCACAAACCCTAGAAATTTTCCTGGGGAAACTCCAAATGCACATTTTAGTGGGTTCATCTTGAGTTTGTATCTCCTCAAACGTTCGAAGATTCTTCTCAAATCTTCCATATGGTTTTCCTCTCCTTTGTCTTGACGACAAGATCATCAACATAGCATTCAATGGTGTCATGGAGCATATCACCGAAAATTACAGTCATCGCCCTTTGATACGTGGCCCTAGCATGTTTCAGGCCAAAAGGCATTACCTTATAACAAAAGACTCTTCGCGGAGTCCTGAATGCAGTCATTTCTTCATCTTCAGGTGCCATTCGGATTTGATTGTATCCTGAGTATCCATCCATAAAAGACAAGGTTTCATACCCAGTAGTTGCATCTACAAGAAGCTCAATGATGGGCAAGGGAAAGTCATCTTTAGGACAAGCCTCATTGAGATCACGGAAATCAATGCAGACCCTTATTTGACCATTTTTTTTCTTGACCGACATAATGTTTGCTGGGCAGGTTGGATATTGGACTTCCCTAATGAATCCTGCATTGATAAGCTTGTCGACTTTGGCTTTAATTTGGGCTGTAAGCTCTGGTCGAGTTCGCCTCTGAGTTTGTTTAACTGGCTGTTTCTTAGGGTGAATTGCAAGCTTATGAACTGCAATCTTTGGATTAAGACCAGGCATCTCACTGTAGTCCTATGCAAATATGTCACGATACTCCCTTAAGAAGGAAATATATTGCCGAGCTTTTTCTTCTTTTAAATTTGCACTAATGAAGGTTGGTTTGTTTTCTCTTTGATCATCTAGATTTACTTCATAAAGGTCATCCACAGTGGCTTGGCCTCCTGCTTCAAATTCTGTTGGTGCAGGTTGAGCTTTATCTTGGTCAACATTTTCCAACACATCTTAGTGATAGTCATGTTTACTGGAAATTTTTCCTCATCCCCCTGATAGCCTATCCCTTCTGTCCTGGCGGTGATAATACCGCCTTGCTGGATAGCCTGCCTTTGTGAAGGTGTTAATACAAAGTCAAATGGTGTCATTGTTCCTGGTATTTTTTCAGGATCTAAACCAACTTTTACCAACATCTGTGTGATTTCTGCACTGAAGGTAGGCTTCTCAAAACTCGAGATGTTTTCTTCTGGCACTTGTTCAACTTTCACTTTCTGTTCAACATCTCCAAGTGAGTGGAATATGATGGGTTTCGAACCTTTTCCTTTAGAAGGGACCACAATCTTATTATATTTCTCCACATAGGTGCATTCTGTCCTCCTTAATGGCAACGTGAACTCACCCTTGAGATTCAAAATTGGATTTATTGGGGCTAGAGCCTTTGTCCCCAGTTTCCTTTCAGACTTTGGCACATATCGAAAAGTTCTTTTTGTTGAAACTGGAGTAGACTCTAGAGCGTCTTTGACATTCGGAGTATCTTCAGACTTCTTCACATCTTTTCCCTTTCTTTGTGAAATTTTTGTATAGAAGCGAGCATCAGCATAGTAGGCCTCTACTTTTCCAAATGGATCATTGTCAGCCACAATTGTCCCCTCTTTTTTGGGTGAAGACAACGGGTACTTAATACATTGGTGATAAGTCGACGGCACTGCATGATGATTATGCATCCATGGTCTCCCAAGCAAAGCATTGTAAGAGGTGTCTACATCAATAACCAAGAACTCAGTGCTTTCTTCAATATCCCCAAACTTGGTTCGCAATTCAATTTTCCCCATTGGGCATTGCTCATTCTGATTAAATCCTTGAATGACCAAACGACTTGGGCGAAGTTGTGAAATTCGAACCCCTAATAAGTTTAAGGCCCTCCGAGGCATGAGGTTTACCGCAGATCCTCCATCAACCAGAATTCGAGAAATTTTCACATCATGGATAAGCCCAGTGATAAACAAAGGCCGATTATGGTCTGTCATTTCAGCACACATGTCTTTGTCACCAAAGGTTACCATAGCCATGCATGTAATTGCCTTCTCTTGATTTCTACCCTTAATTTCTTTGTGGAAATCCTTTGGCTTGGACAAGGCATATATTAAAGACTTTCGAAGCTCTGGAGACATTTTTAGTGCATCATATATGCTCAACAATTCTGGAATTTTCTTTAGATGAGCTAGTACATCATATTTCACTTGTTTTTCCTCCAGCAAAACCTGTGGAACTTCTGACGTTTGAGGGTCCTGAGGATTTCGTAATTTCCTCCGGTAGGTCAAGTAAGTCTGGCATACTTCAGCAACCGCCTTTTCGTTGACCTTAACTTCTTTTATTCCCTCACTTATTTGGACCATGTTAACTGGTCCAGCTGCAGGGTGATCATCATCATCAGTCACTTCTTCATCTTCCTGGAGCTGCATTCTTTTCCCATTTCTTAGGTACCAGGAGTCACGCCTATAAAAGCATTGAGATTCTTCAAAACCATTCTTCATGGCCTCCCAACTAGGCACCACGACTCCATCGAGGGAGCAATACCAGTCAAAGGCGATTCCCTCTAAGGAAAGGGGGAATTGTTTTAGGCAAAGTGCTTGATTTTGAGTTGTTTCCCCACACTGTTTCAAAAAATGCCTAATATGTTTTTGAGGATCTCCATACCCCTCATATAGGACAAAATTTGGAAGTTCGTATCCTTCAGGAAATGGTGTTTGCTCTACCCATAAAGGGAACAAATCCCTTGGGCGATAAGTGCCCATCTCTCGAAGGTCAAGGGCAGTTTCAATCTTCTCCTCAATTGTACCTTCTATGAAATCATATGTTTGAGAAGATGTACCTTCATCATCCAAATGTTTTGGCACCTCAATTTCTATTGGCCATGGTTTATAAAATGTCCTATAGAATCGATCAGCCATGGTGTCCTAATCTGGGATTGAATTAGGTGGCAGGCTGAAGTACCAATCTGCTGCCCATCCTTCCAAAACAAGAACGAATTGCCGTAAAAGTAACACCTGACTTTTTACTGTGTTTCCACATTGTGCAAGGAAACGAACCAAATGGCGCCTTGGACAACCTGTCCCATTATATAAAGGAAAACGAGGTACTGCATATCCTCGTGGGAACTGAACCCATTCGACCCAATTAGGGAAAAGGTGTCCAGAAATTTGATTTCTTTCAATAATCACAAATTTTGATGGGCTTCAAAACCCTCATCTTTCAAAGAGACTGTTACTTTTGCCTGATGTTCCGCTTCCCTTCTAGCTTCAATTTTTGCTTTATCATCATCACCTAGATTGCGAATGATATGTATTTCTCGCTCTTCAAAATTTACATCCACAGTGCTGACATTAGAAGAAAAGTCAAAGTGGTCACTTGGTACACTTTCTCCATCGTATGTCCTAGCTGGGGATGTATATGGTGAACCATCAGATGAAAAGTCAAGTTCCCAATCTTCATCAGGATCCTCTTGAGATGACTTTGCTTGTTTACTTGAATACTTCCATACTTCATCATCCGAATTACACCTGCCATTCACCTCATCATCCTTGAAGTGCAGTCATTTTTTCGCCTTTTTCACAAGCTCAGAGTCGGACCTACACCCGGTGTCTCCTTGTTCTACTCCCCTTACATATTTTGGAGTGCTTTGATAGTACATTGGTGGTACTGGCGAATATTTTGGAGATAATGCTTTTGTTGTGTACTCCGGAGAAGCTGGTATATACTTTGGTGAGGCTGGTATGTGTTCTGGAGAAGTTGGTGTATACTCTGGTGAGTCAGGTATGTAGATAGGAGATGTAATGCAATCTCCTTCCCTAACTTTTGAACCAAATTCACCCTCATCTTCCTCGTCATCACTCAAAACAATGATGGTTAGGCAAGGGGCCAAAGTAAACTTTTCCTCTCTTTTTTTATCAAAGTATGTCTGCAACTCCACAGATTGAAATTTTAAAGATAGAAATTCCTCCAATGTGACTGGGACAAGGGGACCTTGCTCTAACTGCTCATCAGGGACCAATTTCTCCCATTTTTCCTTTCTTTGGGTTCTTCTTTCCTTTTCTCTTACTTACTTTGGCTTTTTTCTGTTTCCTAGAAACTTTTAGTTTTTGCTTTTTGGAAACTTTTGGCCCTTGTGTTGTGTTGTTGAATCAACCACACTTCTAGCTTTCACTGTGGCATTTTGTTTTTTCTTCATGCTTTTTGACTGATAAACAACCCATTCACCTTCATTATCATTGTCGATAGTGATTGGGTTAGCAGATGCTTTCTCTTGAGGAGGGAGCTCGATAATCTTAGAGTCCAAAAGTTCTTGAATTTTATCTTTCAGAACAAAACTCTCTTTTATCGGATGGCTAATCAAATGATGGTAGGGGCAATACTTTGGATCATTGGTCTTTCCTACCTCATGTGGTCTTTTCACCTCAGGGAGAGCAATCAACTTTTGCTCTAACAGATCTTCAAATAGGTCTTCAACCAGATCATCCATGAAAGAATATTTCTTCTCCAGCCTCTCTTTTATAGTCACCTTTTTAAATTCCTTGGGCTTTTTAGCCCTTACTACAATGGGACCCTTCTTTCTGGTTTCGATTGTAGCTGCAGTCGAGGACTCAACCCTTTCAACGGCCCTAGGCCTCCTTCGTTTAGCTAGATGCAGCTCCATATC